AACCAGTTATTAAGTCCAGTTCCTGGACATCGGTTTAAAGGCGTACTGACAAAAAGAACTGATCAACTCTAAAGTAAAAACTCTCTCCAAAATGTACCGACTACACCTTGAAATAAAATTTTATGAAGATGCAATTCCGCTGGTACTTAACACCACTAAAATTATCTAAAATGTATAAGAACATTTCAAGTGAATGCTGGAGATGTGCGGATGTGGTGGATCTGTAAGAAAATAAAGGAATTTTGGGATGTAATTTATAATGAGCTCAAGAGAATGATTAAGGTATCCTTCATATAAAAAAACCTGGAGGCTTTCCTTCTGAGGATACTAGGCCAAGACATACCTAAAAATGTGAGAGAAATATTCTTGTATGCAACGGTAGCTGCAAGAATATTAATCACTATGAATGGGAAAGGACATAAAATTTCGACAAAGCTGGAGTGGCAAAGTAAACTGTTGGATTATGCTGAGTTGGCAAAAACGACAGAAAAACTTAAGAGGTCATACTGATCAAACATTTATTAGGAAATGGGACATGTACAAAAATATCTTAAGGATTACTGTAATAACATGACGTCAGTGGCAGGCGTTGAATGACTTCTGTTGTACGATGGATAATTATAAGAGAATATAATATTGATGAAAATTAACAAAAGAAAATGAAAATAAGTAGTGTACTAGATAGACTAAGTGGTAGATGGCACGATGGGGTGGCGAGAAGTTGTTAGAAACCCAAGAAGAACATATTGTGATGTGATGTGACAAATATTATAATTTTATTTTCTTTCTTCAGGATAGCCCTTTTGTTTGTTATTTCTTTTTAATTTCAATAAAGCATTTTTTAAAAAAGAAAAGAAAGAAATCTAAGAGAGGCAGTTGCCAGGCAGCCAACCTGTCTTCGACACAATTCCACAGATTCTGTGCAGTAAGGAAATGTTATTCTGGATGCTGTGCACTGATAATGAGATGAAACTGGGACATACCTTTCCCCCCTTTCCACCTCAATTCTGCTGCCCAGTACACCCCCATACTGTGGCTATTATTATAAAATAGTATCTAGGCAACTTACAAGCAGAATAAAATACACACTGAAAAACATAGCAATTATCAGCATATCTGGAGGATATTCCCCATCTATTCAAGGGGCCAACTTATCAAGATCAAACGTATCCATTCTTAAGGAGATCAGCCCTGAGTGCTCACTGGAAGGACAGATCGTGAAGCTGAGGCTCCAATACTTTGGCCACCTCATGAGAAGAGAAGACTCCCTGGAAAAGACCCTGATGCTGGGAAAGATGGAGGGCACAAGGAGAAGGGGAGGACAGAGGACAAGATGGTTGGACAGTGTTCTCGAAGCTACAAACATGAGTCTGACCAAACTGCGGGAGGCAGTGGAAGACAGGAGTGCCTGGCGTGCTCTGGTCCATGGGGTCACGAAGAGTCGGACACGACTAAACGACTAAACAACAACAACATTCAAGGGGCTCTACCAACAGTGTTTTTAGTTTGCAGCCTAGTTTGGAGTGTTCTTGTTGTCCCAAACACAGTTTCAGGATTGCATATGGATAGGTTCCTAACCTCCTTCTCTAGGCACGGAAGCCTGGTCCGGTCACTTACTCCATCTGTGCGCTGGCAACGTGGCTGTCAAATTCCAGGGACAATTAAAAGTTGTTAACATTAAATGCACTGGGACCTATGTATCTTAGTAGAGGAATGATCAGAAGGTATATTGTAGTTTACTGGTTAATATTTTGTGGGATAAGGCTATCAGTGGCTATTGGCCATAATGGTCACTCTCCAGGGTTGCTTCTGAATATCAGTGGCTGGGAATCACAAATAGGGAGAATGCTGTTGCATTCATATAGTCATTGAAATGTACAGCTGGAAAGGACCCCAAGGGTCATCAAGTCCAACCCCCTGCAAGCAGGAATCACAGCCAAAGAATCTCTGACTGATGGCCATCCAACATGTTTAAACACCTCCAGTGAAGCAGTCCACCACCTTCATATCCTGCTTGTGAGTTTCTGATAGGCAGTTGATCAATCAATTTGCATAAGATGAAATGGGCCTTTGGTCTGATCCAGAAGGGCTCTTACAAACCACCTGGCAGACTCCAAAGGAACTCCCTGAATCCTGACTCTGCCCTGAGACACCCCAAAGCTTGATATTGCCCTTCACTTTGAACTGACATTTGCTTCAATTAATGCTTTGGAGAGATCAAAATCTGCTGCGATTTTCAAATGGTTGCTTCTTTAACCCCCCAACAAAGTCAAAGGATTGCTACAGGAGAATACAAAGAATGGCAAATGAAGTTGAGCGTGGAAGTCGCGCCTTATTAACAATGTCTATTGTCTTTCACAACATCACCTTTCCTTGTACTTTATACACCTACCCAGCAGAAGAACTATATTGTCTCAGCACCAGTTCTTCTTCTTCTGCCTATTGTGATGTTTTACAGCCTTCATGTTTTGCATCTCTTTTAGGGAGTAGTTCTCTAGTCCAGATGGATGGCAGGCTGCCTGCTCTTGATGGGGTTATTCTCCCTCTCAAGGAGCGGGTACACAGCTTCAGGGTACTTCTGGATCCTTGCTGTTGCTTGAGGCTCAGGTGGCCTCAGTGCAGCAGAGTGACTTCCATCAGCTTCAGATGGTGCCCCAGCTGTGCCCCATCTGGAGAAGGATAGTCCAACTTATGTTGTCTATCACTAAAGCATAGTGCATTTTCCCTAATAATCCAATGACATTTAGTCAATTTGGTGACTCTGCATTCAGTGCTATCCACTCTAAGCCTGCCCTGAACACTATCCTAGCATCAGTGGGACTTCCTTTGCAAACAGACCAGAGGCTGTTTATTGAAATCCATTAGCCATCATTAACTGTACATTTAGTTTGTTGCCGGTCTGACCTTGGCATGCTCCTGCATTTATAAGCTCACCTTCATTTCTCTAGCTAGCACAAGCTAAAAGTAAGCTGTGATGGCAGGACAATTCTCGCTTCTCCATATCTAAGTTAACTGATGTGAATGCACAACACTCCACAACACTCAATCTCCACAGCACACCTTCTGCCACAAAAATATTTTTCCTAATTTAAATCATCCTCACCCTGACACATTTCATTTATAATTTGGAAGGAAGATTGAAAGATACATTTGAAAAGTATGCTTGTTTCACATAAAAGTTCCATGAGTTATGTGTGCAATTTCTAAACAAGAAAATAAAGTATTTAAAAAGAAAGTCCCCCATGTTCACTGAGATTTTCTACAAGGTACACTAAGTAGTGTCCCTGAAATGTTAGGAAACATTACTCTGGATCTCATAGGGGAAAAATAGTTAAATATTCTAAAGCAGGAATATAAAACCTCAAAATACAGGACTTCCAACTCCCATCAGAGCCAGCCAGCAAGATCGGGGGTGATGGGAGTCGCGTCCAGCAGCAGCTGGAGGGTCTTAAATTATAAACTATTACATTTTACACAACAGCACACATTAATTGAATTCACGCTAAACATAACCATTAATATTGTCATCCAAATAAACACAAGTGGAGGAGCGAAAGCAACCATTTCTGCACCCATTCTTGAGTGCAAAGTTTATTTATTCGAAGCATTTACACCTTACCCTTCAACCAGAAAAGCTTCCCAGAGCAGTTTACAAATCAATGAAAACTACGCAGTCCATTTCCTCTGGTGCTGAATCCCAAAAAGCCAAGACGCAGAAAAGAAAAGCAATGGGAAGAAGAGGTTACACTCTTAAGCACAATTTACTGGAGCACTTTTACAAGCACCACCGAAACCAGCCTCCGAATATTATATGCATTCGTCCTTCACCTTGTCCCAGGCGTCCCCCGTTTGCATAGGATCGCGAGGCACGTTGCTGTAAAATCATGTTAGGCAAGAGGCACCTCTCCAGAAATGCCTGCGGGGCAGCGGCAGCTCAGTTCCCAAAGGGAAAATAAAGGCACCGACGTCTCTTCAGACGATGCGCCGAGCATCCAATTGCAAGAACGGCAACCAGTTCGCTTCCCAAAGCGGAGCGATCGCGGCCAGCCAAATCTGGAGTCTCCCGGAGAGAGGAGCGCTGTCGTTTCAGCTGCTGGCGGTTTGGGGAGGCGACGAAGCCTCCGCGTCTCCTGGTGAGGAAGAGCTCCGCATTTTTTGGTCCTTTTCGGAGGGCCCTTAAGGGAGGCGGCAGGATTCGGCGAAAGCGCGATTCGGATTAGCAAAGCGAAGCGGCGAGAGGGAAGCCGCGGCGAGGCGGCATTTTGCTCCCCTTGCCTCCAAGGTGGGGGAAATCCTCCGCCCGATGGAGGCAGTCTCCCCACCCTCCCGTCCCTCTTTTCAAAACTGCCCCCGGGATGGCGACACGTTCCCACCCGCCACGGACGCTCTGAGGGAACCGACCCCTCAGAAAAGCGAGCGGCGCCCAAGTTGCCGCCGCGCCAACCGGCCCAGCAAACCGGAACCAGCCAATGACCGTCGCGAGCAGCTCTCTCCAGAGAAGTGGGCGGGGCCGCAGAAAGCAACGGCCGACCCAGCCGAGAGAAGTTTCGTCAGAAGCCAACGGCAAGCTGACTGGAACCCAAGAGGGAGATCATGGAGGAGGAGGAGCGGGTGGGTGGGTGGGCGTGGCCCCGCGGCCGAGCTCCTTCGCGATAGGCTGGGCGCCGAGAAGGGGGGAAGCGAGGGGCGGCGGAAGACCAACCGGCCTGTTTGGCCGTTGGCGAGTGAGGCGTGGTTTGGGCGGTGGGCGGAGCCCTGAGGTCGAGCTTCGCCCGGCGATTGGCCCCCCGGCCGCGAGCGGAGGGCGTGTCCCGTCGGCAGCCGCGGCCTCCCCCGGGCCTGGATGGCGGGCGAGGGAGGCTCGGGGCGCCTGTCTCTCGCAGCGGCGGAAGTCTCGCGAGGCGGCGCGGGCGGGATTTGGCGGCGGCGGCGGAGGCTGCTGCCTGCTTGCTTCCCACCCTCCTCCCTCCCTCCCAGCGAGGAGCTGGTGTTTGTGTGGAAGGGGGAGGAGGCGGCCGCGGAGGAGGAGGAGGAGAGGGAGAAGGAAGGCAAGCGAGAGGAGCCTGAGCCCCGCCGGCGTCGGGCGGACGAGCGGAGCCGAGGCCCGTCGCTAGGCTCGGGGCCGCCGCCGCTGCGCCCGCCGCCATGGCCTCGGGAGACACCTTGTACATCGCCACGGACGGCTCGGAGATGCCGGCCGAGATCGTGGAGCTGCACGAGATCGAGGTGGAGACCATCCCGGTGGAGACCATCGAGACCACCGTGGTGGGCGGCGAGGAGGAGGAGGAGGAGGACGACGACGACGAGTGCTGCGAGGACTGCGGCCCTCACCACCCGCCCCACCGCCGGCACCACCACCACCACCATCACCACCACCCGCCCATGATCGCCCTGCAGCCGCTCGTCACCGACGGCGACCCCAGCGGAGGCGGCGTGGGCGCCGGGGGCGGCCAGCTCCACCTGCACCACCACCCGCACCACCAGGAGGTGATCCTGGTGCAGACCCGCGAGGAGGTGGTCGGCGGAGACGACTCGGACGGCTTGCGGGCAGACGACGGCTTCGAGGACCAGATCCTCATCCCCGTGCCGGCCCCGGCCGGAGAGGACGAGTACATCGAGCAGACTCTGGTCACCGTCGCGGCCGCCGGGAGCAAGGGCGGCTCGGGAGGGGGAGGCTCCTCTTCGGGCGGCGGCCGGGTGAAGAAAGGCGGCGGCGGCGGCGGCAGCGGGAAGAAGAGCAGCAAGAAGAGTTACCTGGCGGGGGGAGGAGGCGGCGGCGGCGGCGCGGCCGAAGGGGGCGGCGGCGGCAGGAAATGGGAGCAGAAGCAGGTGCAGATCAAGACCCTGGAGGGGGAGTTTTCGGTCACCATGTGGGCCTCGGGTAAGTGGAGCGGCCGGGCGGGGCTCGGCACCTTGCGCGGGGAGGCCCCCAGGGTCCGGGGAGCCCTTCTCCGGGCCCGGCGGGCACTTTCCCCCCGTTTTGTTTTGAAGGGAGGCCATGTTTGGATGTGTGTGATGGGCGCCGCCATGTTCATCTCGCCAGGGCAAGTATGGCGGCTTCCCCCGAAAAGATGGCGGGGTCTGCGCTTGCCTCTGCCTGATTGCCCGGCTCCCTCCGGCGGGGGGGAAAAGGGAAAGAAAGATGGCGGCGGCCCCGCCAAGATGGCGGCCGAGAGGAAGAGAGAGAGAGAGGAGGGGAGGCGAGGAGGCGCGCCTGCCTGTCCGCGCGCGCGCGCTCTCCTTCCTTCCCCTCCCCCCCTACATCTCCTCGTTCTCTGACTCCTGGACTAGGCCGCAATGGCGTAGTTTCTGCAGTAGAGGGAGGGAGGAGGAGGGAGGCGGGGCAGGCACGCGGCGGCGCGGGCCGAGCTTGGCGGCCCCTTCCCCTCTTCCAGCCTCTCTCCCTCGAGCTGCCTCGTTTCCGTCCCCTTTCCTCCCGTTGCCTCCTCTCCGTGTAGCCTCCTTCCTATCATTCTCTACCCCGTGACAGACTCGGGGCGACCTTTAAACGTTCCCTTTCCCCCGCAAGCAAACGGATAAGCCGTTCCCTTCCCTTCCCTTCTTGCGCCCCGCCTCATGTCCGTTTCCTTTCCCCAACCAGCCGCCTCAACTGGTTCCTCCTCATTTCTCTCCTTCCTCCCGGGATTTTTCTAAGTCCCCCTCTCCTCCCCATAAAAACTCCCGAGTAAATTCCGACAAGAGGTCTGCTCAGGAAGCGCGGCTTTCAGTTTTACTGCCAGTAAGTCGGGGAAGCGCCCTAGTTGCCGCCTCCTTCCAACACCAGAGTCCCTTTTACACGAAACACGTTTCCCAAACTGAGCCTGTTTTCACGGTGCTTAAAAGTCTCTTTAGCTGACATCTAGCGGGGTTTTTAATAACTTGAAGGGTCTGAGGGAGGCCTAAAATTAGGCGCCTGGATCACTGACATCTGCTCTGAAGGAAGGAGGTGGATCCTCTCTGACCCTGGAAGCTGGATCTCTGGCAGAAGACCAGCAGAGAGAGTGCCTTTTGACTTAAGAGGTGCTGCCACCTCTTCTCATTACACAGCAGGTGTGTGAAATTGACACTGCCGGCCTCCAGATCCAGGATATGTTGTTTCAAGGGAATTAACCTCCGCAGTAAACAGTGCTTGTGGTTCCTGCCTGTATATATGGGTTAATAGTAAAGGGTAGCAGCTGTAGGAAACTTAAGGGTTTTAGAGTTCTCAAATGGTTTTTTCAAGTTAAATAGAGTGTTAATGAATGGAGAACCTACTACCATTAATCCTTTATTTTTAAGTGTCCTAATCCATAGAATTGCAGAGTTGGAAGGGACTGTGAGGGTCATTCTAGACCAACCCCCTGCATTGCAGGAATGTTTCACCCAAGAGTCTCATGCTCTAATGAGTGAGCTATCCCAGGTTATACTCAAGTAGATCCCTTGAGGTATCACCTACAGAAACATAAAAATGGGTATGAATTTGGCTCCTGGTGTTTCACAATATATGTCTGCTTGGCTGATTAGAACACAGTTCATGCACATTTCAGTGTGTTAAGTGAAAGAAACATAAATATTTGCTGAATTAGTTTGAGTTTCTGCCTTATTACTGCATTGATAATACATAGTTTTAGAAAGTCCAGGTGTTAAAAGGGCAACTTTGTATATTAATAATAGCAGCACAACATAATCCCCAGGACAGAGTAATTGTTTTAATCATTAATAAAATAAACACTGCCAGCGAGGAGCACAATCCAGAATCTATGACTATACAGTCTACATAACATTTGTGCTGTACTAATTTTGTACATGATATTTTTTCATTGAGTAAATATATCATTACATTGCTTAGACCAGTGACAGATGTTTGGTGTGCTCTCTGTAAATCAGTGGTGTCCAAACTTCTTTCAAAGAGGGCCAGATTTGATGAAGGGCTATGTTTGTTGAGTTTTTTTAGGACTGAAGTTGTTGAGGGTTTTTTAGGATTTTATCCCAGGAAATAAACTGATTAGGCCCCCAAAACGGACTTTGAACATGCCTATTATAAATCCAAACTACTAAACACAATCACTTAATTTAGAACTAAGGCTTGTAATTCTTAGGAAGCAACTCACATTAGATTATGTGGAACATCATAGCTCGATCCTGTGTGCTGTCTAAAAACTATGCCAGAACAGATTTTATTCAGTGTTTTTAAAATTTCCAGTCCCCCTCACTATTGGTTATCTTGTCCTCTGGTACTTCAGAGAAACTGAGCAAGTGGCATTCTGTGACAATCTAAAATGATATTTCCATAGCCATATCACTTTATTGACCACGCTGATAAAATTTTCAAGTAATTGAGTTTCAAGAGTGGTTCACGGAATCTGATACAGTGGTGCCTCGCAAGACGAAAAGAATCCGTTCCGCGATTCTCTTCGTCTAGCGTTTTTTTCGTCTTGCGAAGCAACCCCATTAGCGGCTAAGCGGATTAGCGCTATTAGCGGTTTAGCGGCTAAGCTGCTAAAAGGCTATTAACGGCTTAGCGGCTTAGAAAAAGGGGGGAAAGCGGGGGGGGGGAATGGCAAGACTCACAAGACATTTTCGTCTTGCGAAGCAAGCCCATAGGGAAATTTGTCTTGCGAAGCGCCTCCGAAACGGAAAACCCTTTCGTCTAGCGGGTTTTCCGTCTTGCGAGGCATTCGTCTTAGAAGCAAATACTACTGATATAAATGGGGCTTACTTTCTAGTGCAGATTGTAGTCCTATATGCCTTGTGCTTATGTTAAGCAGCTTTATCAAATATTACATGATGCAGAAGCTATTGCCAGAGGTGCCGAAAGTCAAAGATCTATTAGCTGCATTGAGCTGTGGATTTTCAGGCATCTAGTAAGGTGTCTGAAGCTACTGATGTTGATGGCCTAAATGAACTCTGTTAGTTATGGGCTCAGTTCTCTCTGTTTCTGAATCAAAATCAGTGCATTAATCCAGGCTTGTTTTGACCTTGTATAAATAATGCAATAGCCTTTTCTGCTGAAATGTAATATGTATATACACCCATTATTTTCTGTGGTGCTCTGAAGCCTTGATAGCTCTCGAAGTCCATCAGCCTGCTTATATAATTTAATTGAGTACCTGCCCTGTTTGATCACAATATTGTGCTTGCTCCTTTTAGGTACTTTACAGACCACTAGTTCAAGGTGTGCTTAATAGAAGTAGCATAATTGAATTCTTCATATATGCCTTCCACTCTTAACAGTGGGATATATCTGAAATACTATAGTATGATGATTAAACACAAAAAGGCTCAAATCAAACTCTTAACAGTTTGTACAAAGTTTGAAGAGTGATACGACATCCTTGTTTCATGCTGTCTACTCAGCCACCTCTTTACCAAGTATTATATCGTCTTTGTGCTATTATTCTCTTCTTTTGGATTCTCCCAAGTTCTGAACAGGAGCACTATGCATCCCTCAGTTTTGGGACTGGCTACCCAGAATATTCCTTTAGCCTAGTTTAAGGGAAATTTAAGGCCCTCCTGCAAAAATAATTGTTGTAGGAAAGTTAACACTTCTGCCAGTTCTGAATTTGAATGTTATTGAATAGGGTAGGATTTGAGGAGGATGTGTTCAGTTACAGTACTATACATTAAATGCCACTCCCTTTCAGATGCTTAAATAGTTGAACTGGTTAAACTTCATAAACTTCTCAGATGCCGTCTTCTGAAATCTTGAATGCATCTTTTTACATATCCTGTGTTTTATGGTATGGAAACCAAGTTTTGGTAACCAGTTCAACATGCTCCATAATTGCATTTATCCTGTGCCTTATCTGAACTTGTGACAGTGGAGGTCAAAAACATTTCTTAGACGTTCTCTTCCCCCCTTTTCATGCACGTGGAAAGCCTAATAGTGTCTAGCATAATATCCTGAATTACTAAAAAATTGTGTTAATACACCAAATACCATGTATTTGCTCTCAAGTGACTTTTAATTTTGAAGTTTGGGGTTGAGTAGAGTTGCTTCTTAAGCAATTTAATAACTTGCAGCTTTCAAATTAAGGGAAGTCCTTACCTTCTGTTGTCATTTTGGGTAATTAGTTACATTCCAGGGTCCCATTATAGCACAATGCTATTTCTCAAACCATTAAGAAATACCTCTCAGTTAGTAAGCGGGAAACTATTGCATGGCTATTGCAGTGACCCTTGTCAGATAGCATCTTCTGAACTAGGGGTGGGTAGGTTGTGCCCCCCTATACTCTGTTGGACTTCATCTCCCATCATCCCTGACCATTGGCCATGTTCTCTGGGACTGATGGGAGCTAGAGTCCAACAACCTACGGGGGCCACAGGTTACCCCAGCCCTATGTGTCATCCCTTTTTCAGAAGCCTAGTACACCTGTGCCACTCCAGAATGTTTCAATGCTCTTCTGAACTAGGCATTACTTCCACATAGAAATCCAAATATCATTGAGAAGCATTTTAGCCTAGTTTCTCTCCCCCACCCCATTGTATAGTTTTCAGCAGACTGAAGCGGTACAGGCGTATCTCATTAATAAGAATTCACTGCAGTAAGATCTAGGTCATAATGCCAGAAGTAGAAGTTTAGATCCTAGTTATTAGAAATTCAGCATGTATCTGCATAATATGATGTCTTCAGCCATATCACTAGCATTACATCACCTGTGGCCACTGGCATCCTCTCATGTTACGTTTAAGCCCCAAATCGTCCACTGATGCCCTTAACTATGCTTCTGAAACTTGACTGCATCCATCAGTGCTACTGGATTTTTTCTGCTCTGTTACCTTTTTGTTGCTCAAGCCAGTTTGGGGTGTTGTTATGTACAGAAGATAAATGAACCAGATGCTCACCAGGACAGAGAACGGCTATAATTCATTTGGTTTCCCAAATTTGGAAGTGGTCACTATGTGAACAGAATGCTGGACTGGATGGGTGTTTGGTCTGATCCAACAGTGTTCTTAAATTCTTGCATTCCCCATGCTAGTACCAGTAATCTGTTCTGCATGATAATACACAAATATTATTGCTCAATGTGCATACAGCTTGCTTCTTCTAGGTTAGATGATCTGTCAAGTTAGGGTCCTAGAACCATACACTGTGAGACCTAAGAACAAAGCAATAGCAGCTCTTTAATCTCCATTCTTTGAAGGTATAATCATCCACCCTCAGATTCATTGAGGGTTCCTTTACCAGAGAGTATTCAACTCATCCAAGTCCAATAGTTCAGCATACTTGAAAACCACTTAATATATATTTTTCTTTTTTTAAAAATTACAGAATGTAAAATGATTTTCCCAGTTAACAGCAATGATTCATCCTAAGCACATAATTGGGGACATGAGCAAATAAGACTTATGGCGAAAGTTCAGAAGCACTGACATGCATGCAGGCCAGCATTATATCCAATCTCATTCCATTGTCTTCTTTACTGTGCATTGCAGTCTTACTTGCTCCTGGTTACCTTTGCTTCTTTCTCCCATGGCTCCTTCAAGTCATCTGTCATGTTACTTAAATCCTCATTCTTTAACCAGATTTACCATCTCTATTCATAAACTCAAATCCACCTTTCTAGAGCATTGATCACATTTGAATGCCGGAAGTGTAAAAAGAAAAAAGATTATACAGTGGTACGTCGGGTTACATACGCTTCAGGTTACAGACTCCGCTAACCCAGAAATAGTACCTTGGGTTAAGAACTTTGCTTCAGGATAAGAACAGAAATCATGCACTGGTGGCGCTGCGGCAGCAGGAGGCCCCATTAACTAAAGTGGTGCTTCAGGTTAAGAACAGTTTCAGGTTAACTCCGGAACGAATTAAGTACTTAACCCGAGGTACCACTGTGTAGGAATTCTTGAGATTTGGACACTATTCAGGAGGACTGAATTCCTGAGAATCCTCCATTGAACTACTACTTGAAAATTATATTTAGAGCTAGTGGTGGCATTCACAAAGAATGAAAGAACTATATAGGTCAGGGGTCAGCAACCTTTTTCAGCTGTGGGCCAGTCCATCGTCCCTCAGACCATGTGGTGGGCTGGACTATATTTTATTTGGGGGTGTGTGTGTGTGTGTGAAATAACGAATTCCTATGCCCCACAAATAACCCAGAGATGCATTTTAAATAAAAGCACAGATTCTACTCATGTAAAAACACACTGATTCATGGACCGTCCGCGGGCCGGATTGAGAAGGCGATTGGGCTGCATCTGGCCCCCCGGTCTTAGTTTGGTGTTTCACTAGGAAGAATTTTCAAGGGTGTTCTTGATACCTCTCCTTGTTAGCTTATGTGGAAACAAAAATAATGGGATCAATTCATGAATTTCCCCCTTTGCAGCAGACATTTGACAAATTAGCATATGGCTTATTCATTTCTTACATTCAAATATTATTTTTGGATAGTGTTATGGGAGAGCTATTCACTATTCTTTCTTACAGGGAGTTTAAATTAGCTAATTTCTTCTTCAGTGGAGGCAGTAATTCTTGCATAGATCTGCCCTCCCACTTGCAAGGTCATTGAAATTAGCGTCCTATATCCTCTGAGTTCCTATGTAGTTTCTGGTCCTTCCCATCTTGATGCATGGGTCTTTTCATTGCATTCCCCACCACCCACCCCTCTACCTAGCCTGGGTGGGTCATGAGGCGGGCTTTTAGCTGAATATGTGTTCTAAGTTTAAAGGAGGATGCATTCAACACCATATCCATTCCATGCACAGTTTCTGGGAGCCCTAGGAGAGGAAGAGGTTGCTCCTCTAGGAGAGCAATTGCTATTGGTAGTGATGGAGGGGAGCACCCAGATGGCCCAACCACCCTGTCAGGGTGGCTTTGCTAGGTCGGTGCTAACCCTCATAGACAGGAAGGACTGATCAAAATGGGTGTAAGCCAGCGGAACTTTAGGCTACCCCACCCTCTGATTCTGGATAGTGGATCCATCCACCTGGGGCTACAGAAGTGGATTAGCTAGTGCATAGTACAGGAGCTGCCATGCCATCTTCTGAGGGTAAGGTTCAAAAGGTGGAATAGGATCTACCACCCGCTGCACCATTTGAAAAGTTTGCAGTGCTTATCTAGGGCCCTTGTCTGGTCTTCGATAGCTGCGACAGCAGAAGGGACAGAGGCGTTGCTGGGCAGCTTTAACTAGCAGGCTTTCCTTCTCCCCAGACACCTTTGCAAGCCTTTGCCCATGTCAACAGACTGTGTCAGGACCGAAAGCCTGATGCACACATTGACAAGATGTGAAGGCTTTTTGCCAGATTCTGATGCTTCCCCTGAAGAAGTGGGTGTCTACAGCAGCCACAGCACAAATTAGTTTCCAGATGATCTGCCTAGCATTCAAGAGCAGGCATTAGGGACAAATATGTACTTGTTTGGACATACCATGTTATTTCAAAGACTCACAATAGCAGGCAGGGATCACAAGACCTTGTTCACTGCTGCAGGAAGCACTGTACCTGCCGTGCAATCTCCATGATCAATCCTCCTGGCTCATTCAGTTCTCATTCATTTCCAAACCTGCACAGCAATTCTGGGATCCTTGGAGATGCTTGGAACTTCTTGTTGGTTCTCAGCTGCTCTTTGGCAAATGGAGCTGTCAAGGAAGTAGGACAGCAGAGAGGACAAAAAGGAGGCATTCTGGGTTGTGGGTGGCTACTGTGGATCTTTAGGATCCTCCCAATCCCCCATCACACCCTCTCACTGGAAGCAATGGGAAGGAAAGGGTTTTAAAAGGACAAGCAGCCCTTAAAGGCAAAATGGGGGGGGGGTCACTTGCCCCTTTCTGTCCTGCCTGTAGGACAAAGGTGCTTCCTCCACCACAGTCTCTCTCTCTCTCTCTTTACTCTTAGGATTGCTTTGTTTGCACTGCACTTTTGGTAGTTTAAAAAAGGAAGAAAATGAATTGATAATGAAATATAGAAACTGTCGAACACCTTATAACAAGCTATGGCAACAGATTTTGATTACCCAAAATGTTCAGTTAGCATATGTACCCTGCCTGCTGTTCATATCTTTGTTGGGCTGTGGGTTATTTTTCTAGCAAGGAATTGGCAGTTGAAGAATTCAGTTCTTTAGAATTAAAAATTCCGAATTCCTCTTTACTTTAAGAGGGAATTATTATTAAAAGAAAATGGAAGTTAATTGCCACCTTATTGATCATGCTGTTGCTAAATTAAGCTGAAATTGGCAGAGTTGCCAGTGTATATATTTATAGTTACAACTCATCATACATTGAATTTAGCATTGTATTCTTTTGAAATAGGAAATAATTGCATGTTCTATAAAGCTAGTGCTTAGTACTGGGGTGGAGGGGAGAGGGTTCCATAAAGTACATATTTGTAAGCAAATAATCATTTGCTAATGCATTTTATTATTTTTTTGACCCTGCATACGGAAATAGCTTGAGGGATGTTTGCTAGCGCTAAGGGTGGGGGAGGTTGTGCTAAGGTACAAGCCTAGCCAACGGTGGTGTCCTTCGAGGATGTTAAATCAAAATTCAGTTTGCTCTAATCATTTCAGATGACAAAAAAGACATTGACCATGAGACTGTGGTGGAAGAGCAGATCATTGGTGAGAACTCCCCTCCAGACTACTCTGAATACATGACAGGAAAGAAGCTACCACCTGGAGGAATACCTGGCATCGATCTTTCCGACCCTAAACAGCTGGCTGAATTTGCAAGGTAAGTGGTAAGAGAATTGTTTTTCTAGTAAAAACATTATTCCATTATGCTCATTCATAATATATCAGATACTGAGAAATGATCTTTCTGGCATAAGAGATAGGAATTGTGAGTGTGAGGATGCCTTTTATTGTGTAGTTTAAAGCCTCCCAGTTCATGCCACAGTGAGAGCAGGTCACGCTGGTGGGTTACCCCCTCAGGATCTTGATCTTACAGGCATTTCCTTTAGTCACCCTTGACCAGCTTCCATCACTCCGTGGTTTTTCTTCCTCACCATAGAGACTGTCGTAATTGCTGTGAAATTTCTTCAGAGTTCTCTCTCTGATTAGGTCATTCTGGAATAAATTCTCTGGCTTGCCTGCCATATTTCTCAAGTTTTCAGATTCCTGTTTCAAAGTCCATTCTCTATTCCATCTTGCCTCCAGCCTTCCCCCTCTGGGCTCCATATCCTTAAATGTGCAGAGATAGGACCAGTCTCTTCTCACTTCCTAACCCATTGAGATTTCTTTTGAGGTTTTATTCCCAGCCAAAATAACAGCTTCCCCTCCCTCACAGAAGTTGAACTGTAAACTGTTTAGTTTCCTAGACAGTGGAATATTTCATGCCATCACACCAGCTCAGCCAGTCAGTTTGAGACTTTGCCATCACAACTGCAATATGATACAGTTAGTTTATGTCAGAAGATTACTTTGTTAATACAAAGCAAATAAGAATATATTTCCTTTTCACTGATCAATGCTGTTGTGCTTTTCTTTGCAAGAATGAAGCCAAGAAAAATCAAAGAAGATGATGCTCCAAGAACGATAGCCTGTCCTCATAAAGTGAGTGAAATATTATGATTGCTTTTTAACTTCAGAGTTCATGCTTATAAAGACTACTTCTCTGTTCCTTTTAAAAATTAAAGTATGAGGAAAGTTGCATACATTTTGTATTGTATTAAAGTATTGTTTCTGCTGATGGGAAATAGAAGGGCCATGGCAACTAGGACAAAGGGAAAGCAGCTCATGTATTTAAAAAATAAAAAATCTGAAAATGACTTAGCAAAAAATGTGAAGAAGCTGAATGTGTTTTAGTAGAGCACCCGGAAATCCTAGGTGTAATACAGTCCACTGATGGGTCTTCTTTGTATTCTCTCGAAGGGCTGCACAAAGATGTTCAGGGACAACTCTGCCATGCGGAAGCATCTGCACACTCACGGGCCTCGAGTACACGTCTGTGCGGAATGCGGCAAGGCCTTTGTGGAGAGCTCAAAACTAAAGCGGCACCAGCTAGTTCATACTGGAGAGAAGCCCTTTCAGGTAACTTTTTTTTTCATAATACTTTTGGTAGACATTTATGCTGCATGTAGAGATCATTCTGAGGCTCAAAAACCCGAAGGTACCTGTTCTCAGATCAAATTAGGTAAGACCAGTCAAAGGGCTGGAAATAATCTAAATGTGTGGACAGAGGATAATTCAAGCGACTGCCCAACAGGCATTTCACACTAAATCTTTTCCTATCCTGTCTTGTTGGGCCATTCATGATGCTATCTTTCCATAGTTACCAGGAGGTTTGAGATCGGGTCTTATAACAAGCAGCAGACTTAATAGCTGCTAGGCAAAATATACCTAGCAAAATGTAATTCCATTCACACACACCCACCAACCCCAAAAGCCTTTCATTCGCTGGCTGCACACTTCATCATTGTCAGAGACTTAATTATTGGAGCACTTGCAAGCTGTTGATGTAGATGGAGTGCGATATATTGAGAACTGTTTCTCCCTTTCCTGACATGCTGCATTTTCCCACTACAGGCCAGGCCTCAGAGGTTATATAGGTGTGGGATGTCTTTCACTGATAAGTCATACTGTCTAGTTTGCCAGCTCAAGATGTACAAACTGGACAACATCATAAACAAATTGTATGTGTGTTTTTTCTCCTTGAGGTTTTTTAGAATGTGCTTGTATGCAAACTTTTGTAATAGGAGCAATAAACAGAAATCTAGAAAGTGGAGAAATTCTGTTCCTGTTGTGAAAGCTGGCGATCTTAGAACTGTTGTTTTACCTCTTGGTAGTAGTAGTTTGCCATGGCTGTTATTCACCGTCCTTTATATAAAGCAATCAAGAATTGACTTTTGCCATGTTGTTGAAGCCAGCCATTCATGCCTCTTCATCAAATGTTCCTCAGCCTTTCGTTGGCAAATGAAATGAAAATTGTGCAAGAGGGCTATGAATGAAGCCGTGCATAGAAACAAGTCACAGATAGTGAATGCCAACTTTGATTTCAGTGGATAAAGTGATCATTGTCTTTCTTTATCCTCCAAAGAAGTACTTTGCTTGTTACGTCTGCTAAACTGGTCAGATAACACAGGCATTGCACCATAGTGTTTATAGTAAGGAATGGGTGAATTCTTCATGTCCATGGGATTCCTAAGTTCTTGGCTGGAAAGCCTGCTATTTGCAGTAATTTTTTAAATGTAACGTCGTGGTTAATTGGTGTACATTTATAATGTATTTTCCTGGGGAAATGTGGATTAAAAAGTAAAGGTGGTGCTTGAAGGATACCAAAAACTGCTTATAGGCTTATGTAGTGGTACCTGGACTACTACTTAACTGCTTTAGAAATGTAAAGCTTTTTCTTGAGATATCTTACTGCTAGTAATTTCATGTCACGAGGTATAGAATCATACCTGATATGATTGTATGCATTGCAGAGTTGGAAGGGATCCTGAGGGTCATCTAGTCCTAGCTCCTTCAACCATTCCTCATAAGGCTTGGCTTCTAGACCCTTGATCATCTTAGTTGTCCAGCTTGTCAACATCCTCCTTAAATTGTGTTCCTCAGAATTGGACACAGTACTCCAGGTGTGGTTTAGCCAAGGCAGAATAGAGCAGTGCTATTACTTCCCTTGATCTGGATACTAAGCGTCGGTTGATGCAGCCTAGAATAGCATTAGCTTTTTTTTGCCGCTGCATCACACGGTTGACTCATGTTAAGCTTGTCTACTAAGAGTCCTAGATCCTTTTCACAGGTACTTCAGACAAACCAGGTGTCCACCATCCTATATCTGTACAGATGGTTTTTCCTGCCTAAGTGTAAAACCTTACATATGTCCCTATTGAAATTCACTTTGTTAGTTTTGGCTCAGTTTTCCAATCTGTTAAAGGTCTGATTGAATCACTATTCGGTCTTCAGTGGCATTGGCTACCCCTCCCAGTTTGGTGGCAGATTTGATGAGCATCCCCTCAATTCCTTCACCCAAGTCATTTATAAAGACGTTGGAACAACAATGGCCCAGGACATAACCCCGTGGTGTCCCACTTGTTACCTTTCTCCAGGGTGACGGGAAACTATTAGTGATCACTCTTTGTATTCAGTCAGTCAACCAGCAACAAATATGATCCCGTGTATGGAAGTCCACGGGTTTGAGTTTCAGCTTCATTCTGAATATTGTATGTTTGTATTGCATTTTTTAAATGATTGCCCGCCGCCTTGTGACGACTATGAGAGACTGTATAGAAATGGTGACTAGAAAGTGCCAGCATGCCATGAGCAAACTAATCATAGTTTCATGTTCACAGTATTTGAGGCATGCTCCTAATGCCCTGTGTTTTCATTCAACAGTGCACGTTCGAAGGTTGTGGCAAACGCTTTTCACTGGACTTCAATTTGCGCACACATGTGCGAATTCATACTGGAGACAGGCCCTATGTGTGCCCTTTTGATGGCTGTAATAAGAAGTTCGCTCAGTCAACTAACCTGAAATCTCACATCTTAACACATGCTAAGGCCAAAAACAACCAGTGAAACTCTGCAAGAAGAAAGCTCTTGGACTCAAAGCATCTTACTTTACAGGAGAATGGTTGAAAAAGAATAAGCCTCCCCTTTGTATATTGTTTCTAGGAAAGAATTTAAAAAAAAACAAAAAAAGAACCCTACACGCCTAAAGGACTTGTTTTTGATAAAGTGGCAAAATAAACTTTAAGGGTGCATTGCTGCAATGCTCGATTTTGCTCTATAATTTGGGTTTCGAGAGTACGGTGTTTTTGTAAAGCGTGGCCCCACCTGGAGGAGGCAAGACAGTTCATGGACTTGCATCAAAGACAGTTCTTTCTACAACAGTGCTAAAATTGGACTTTTCACATTGTTATAAATATGGAGCTCACCTGTTGCTTACAATTTTTTAATTTTGTATTTTCCAAGTGTGCATATTGTACACTTTTTGGGGATATGCTTAGTAATGCTATGTGTGATTTTTTTCTGGAGGTTGATAACTTTGCTTGCAGTAGATTTTCTTTAAAAGAATGGGCAGTTACATGCATACTTCAAAAGTATTTTCCTGTAAAGAGAAAAAAAAGTTATATAGGTTTTGTTTGCTATCTTAATTTTTTTGGTTGTATTCTTTGATGTTAACACATTTTGTATAATTGTATCGTATAGCTGTAATGAAATCATGTAGTAACAAATATTAGATGTGATTTAATAGTGTTAATCAACTTAAACCCATTTTAGTCACTTTTTTTGGGGAAAATACTGCCAGATGCTGATGTTCCGTGTACTTTCTCTTTGCCTGTTCAGTTAAGGAAAAGTGGTGCTCAGTTGTAGAATGTATTGTACAGGCACTGACCTTTTAACAACACCTGATATGTACATCCCGTGTAATAGAGTGGGCAAAAAATAAAACAGTGGTCCTGAAGAAAGAATATGGCAGAAAACAATCTGTAAGCACAGCCTATTTTTCTTCTGTTGTCCAGGACAAATTATAGTTCTTTAACATCCCAGAAATTGGATGCTAAATAAAACTCAAGTTACCTTAACTACCCCCCTCCCCTGCATTCAATTAGATTTTTAATGTAAGAGGTGTATCTTCATCATAGCACTAAACCCCCAACCTGAATAACACTAAGCAGTTGTGGAGATTTTGATCTCTCTTGATCATATGGAGCCTCCCATTGGGCACTGCAGCTTTGACAGTGAAGTTTAGCTTTTGTTTTTTACATTCAGCAAGTGGTGGAGCAGGACAACCTATAGACAACCTCTGCTGCCTTGGTCTGATAAGGTAAGGTGATGACAGCTGCACCCATTAGTGGGGTGAGTCGGGCATGTGAGTTGAAACACCAGAATGCTGAAGTAACCTGTCCTTGGCCGGTGAGGTGGTTCTTGTCCTTGAGAATCTATAGAACAGTATAGTGCAGGTTACATATTTTTGTTGAACAGAGCTGTGTTGTATAGTTGCTGTCATTTTTCCTTCTTGGTGTCCAATAGCTGCCCTAAGTACCAAAACAGCAACAAGCTAACTCGGATTCTGAGCCGAGAAAAGGGCGGCTTCTGCATCGGTGATGTGAATTTAAATGATACAAACTATTTTGTTTGACTGTAATGCGTTACTGTTGTACAATAATTCTGCATAACCTAATCAAGGGACAATGGCAAGAAGCTGTGCAGGGCACCCAAGCCCCACCCCTGATCACTGGAAATTTTAGTGGCTTTTGAGGGCACTCCCCATGCTCCCAAGAATATGACGGGATTCATCCTGCACAAGGACTTCTCCTGGCACAGCAGAGCCCCCCCCCCCCCCCGGCACGCTGCATGTTGGCTCAGCGCCGGGAGACTCTTCAGGACCTTGTATGTTCAGGAGGGGGGCAGACCGAGCCATCCGCTTAGCTCTACATTGAATTCCTCTACTTTCAACCTTAAGGGCTAGGAACTGAGGGCTAGAAATGAGTTTCTCTGCAAGCTGAAATCTGAACCCTGTACCGTGTGCTGCAACTTCTGTTTTACACTTCTGCAGAATTGTAGCAGCTTGTATAACCGCTTAAGAGATTTTTAAAATATTAAGCGGTTTATAAATGCTTTTAAATAAACACAACCCTGGTTGTACAGAAACGTTATTGATGCAATGAATCTGCAATTATTAACGAAGATCTAGCTTGCAACAGGACAGAGAATGGGTATATTGCTGCCAGTGTGCCCCCAGTGTCTGATTTTATATTCGAACTGGATGGGAAGTGGGAATACAATTTTCATGTGTCAGCGATGCAACAGAATAGCATAAACTTCAAAATGTAAATCTCCTGGGCTTAAGTTCTTAATCCGGGGAATGGGGACTAAGGTACCTGCTCAAGACTGAAGGCTTCCCATCTTGAAGCATCACTTCTGCAATAGTTTTGATAAGGAATGGGATCTTGTGTTTCTGGAGAAACTTGCCCACCAATTAAATGCATCTTGGGGCCATCTCAAGCCAAGCCTTAGTTTTGTTACTGTCTTGCAATAAAAGTGGTATCATCTGTCTTAACTCTGCTTACACTAACATAAGCCAGCATTGGTAGACAAGTGTTTCCGTTTATGGGCTCAACCTAAAAAAATCCTTTTCTCTCTTACGCTTTGCTGCGTAGCACTTGCAATTGTGTATGCTTCCATAGAACCATATTTATCAAGTTCTTTGTAAACAAGTTCTTTGTAAACAATGACAAATACATGTACTGCTTTCTGTACTGCATAGTTAACTACATGGTAACGTCATCTTATGTGTGAAAAGTGGCTTCTAAACTTGGTAAAGCTGATTAAATTTCAGTTTATTTTTTTTAAAGGGAAGCAAGAAGAAGATGAAGGCAAGGGGAGTATTTGCTAGTGTTCCTTTTTCACCGTCTTGGTGTGCTGGTGTTTTTGAAGAGCCTTGAAGACGAGTGCTCTTGTTGCAGATCTCTCCTAGAGGTCCCACTTTCTGAACACAATGCGTTCCCAGGAAATTATTTCTTAGGCAAGCGTTTGCATATAACGAGCTGATGATTTCCATTGTTTCCTGTGAACAAATCACAATCTCCCTCCCTGAAATGGCTGCCGCTGACCAACAAAACAGAAATAAGTAAGGAAGTGGGCAAAGTCTGGTTGTTTGGATATCCGAATCATCTGTCTGTGTAGCAAGGTTTGGGTATAATTCTTGGTGTTCAGCTAGCAGATTTTGGATAACTAGCGTTCTGATTGCGGCACCTGCATGTATATTTAATTCCTAAGAAAGAATTTAGGGTCTGAATTCCAGCTTGGGCAATGTCCACTTGCATAAGAGGGACTTTCCTTTCTCTCACCCTCCGTGTGCCTTCAGAATGTGCTCTTGTCCTTGAGACCTTCTAAGGCAGTGTTTCCCATACCTGGATCTCCCAATTGTTTTTGGACTACAATTCCTATCATCCCTGACCACTGGTCCTAGCTAGGGATGATGGGAGTTGTAGTCCAGAGACAACTGGAGAACCAACTTTGGGAGACGCTTCTATGCTTTAACTTCACCTTTAGAAATACCAAGCACCTTTTGCTGCATGTCTGAATCCTCATTTAAAAAATACTGCCCAAGTGTAGCTGCAGCGTGTGCTGAACCTGAATAGGTATTTCAGTGGTGGGGAACCAGTAGATTCCCTGTGCTGGACTCTCAACTCCCATCAGTCCCAGCCAATATACCAAATTGTGAGAGACTGGTAGGAGTTTTTGTCCTGCAACATCTGGAGAACCTCAGGTTCCCCACCTTTGATGTAGCGTAACCCTGAGGCTGAAACGTACCAGCACTCTGGAGTTCTTCAGCTACGCTCCTTCCTTCCCAGGACGTTGCCTTATTCTCTGGTCACTGTTCATTTATTAAAAAAATACTACCATCTCCATAGGGTTTATAGGATAGCCTAACTATCAGTGTTATCAAAGAACCTGAATATTTGTCAGCAAACTAAACAGTCCTGCTATTGCTACTAGCACATGCATAGGCAAACTCGGCCCTCCAGATGTTTTGGAACTACAACTCCCATCATCCTTAGCCAACAGGACCCGTGGTCAGGGATGATGGGAGTTGTAGTCCCAAAACATCTGGAGGGCCGAGTTTGCCTATGCCTGTACTAGCACCGCACTTTTGGTATTATATGACTGAACCTTACATTAGTGAGCTGGATGAGTTGTAGCAGCGAGTAGGCATTTAACAGGAATGGAATTTGCTAATCACAGTTGCTGGGTTCCCATTACCACCATTCATTGAGGACAATTCTAAGCTGCTCAGTTGGTGCCATTTAGACATTGGAGGCAGATCCCTCTCGTAACTGCTGTTCCCTTTGTAAGGTGGAACGGTCAAGCCCTCTCAAGCATCGAGGGCAGGGTGGTTGGGATGAGTGTACTGGCTCCATCCCAAAGTTGCCATTCTGGTTGTTTTCCACCTGCTGAAGGAGGGAGCCCCGAAGAGTACAGAAAGCTCTCCACAGATTTCCTTTGTAACCCTGGAAAATCGAGGATGCAAAAGACAGGAAGCCTCCATGATCACAGGATGCTCCCTACATCAGACAATCACTTTTTGTGTGGGAATAAGACGCGGGTGGCGCTGTGGGTTAAACTACAGAGCCTAGGGCTTGCCAATCAGAAGGTCGGTGGTTCGAATCCCGTGATGGGGTGAGCTCCTGTTGCTCGGTCCCTGCTTCTGCCAACCTAGCAGTTCGAAAGCACATCAAAATGCAAGTAGATAAATAGGTACTGCTACGGCGGGAAGGTAAACAGCGTTTCTGTGCGCTGCTCTGGTTCGCCAGAAGCGGCTTAGTCATGCTGGCCACATGACCCGGAAGCTGTATGCCAGCTCCCTCGGCCAATAAAGCGAGATGAGCACCGCAACCCCAGAGTCGGCCACGACTGGACCTAATGGTCAGGGGTCCCTTTACCTTTAAGAGCACATTTATCCCCCATGACTCCTTGCACGGTTACTGAAATTGTGCACAGGAGATTATCATTTCTACATTACTGAAACAGCAGCTGCATTTGCCACAGCGGCCAGAAAATTGCAAGTACCGTATGCTTTTTGATCAATTTTGATATCTGAGCTGAGTTTTATATATGGTAAGTTCTGTGGCTATGGATCTCGAATGGTTTTAAAATACGATGCTAATGCACATTTTGTAAATGTGATGTAAACGGGTGTGGGGTTTGCAAAGGACTTTGCTTGTTGCAGCACAGTATTTCTTCATCACTCCATTCACTTGGGTCGTAAACTTCCATGAATGGATGGAGAGTTTGATGCATGGAAGGCACAAGTAACTCTGCTTCCATTTCTGGAATTGCAAAAAATAAGAGCCAAGGGAACAAAACTACAGCGGCTTCCAACAGGTAACCTCCTGCCCTTGAAAATAACAGCACTTCCTTATGAGAAAAGCACCGCAATCGCTTCTTTCAGGTACTTGCTGTTTCAACCAACTCCCAATTCTAATTTGCTTTGCGCAGGTTCCGAAGACTTTTTATCAGCAAGAAATGTCTTGCAACCTGTGGCTGGCTTGCAAAAATTTGGAGCTCTGCATCAACAAATCTGATGCCTGCATTGCATGGAGGTTCTCCAATAAAACATACAATCATTAGGTGATAGTCTTGCATTATCGCGTGGGAGTGAAATACAGATGCACCTTTTGATGAAACTACAGTATTATTTTAAAAAAAGATTTATTCATTCATTCTGCCTTTATGTACAACAGTTACAGAATACTGTACAAAAAAAAAGAAAGAGATAGTTTTCATTGCTTTGAATTGTTGTGCATAAACAGCTCGGATAGGTTTCACATTCAATTTGAGTGTTCTTGCCAAACAGGCAGCGAAACATTCGGTATACCTCCAAGGTATAGAAGCGATGAACCAGTTTTACAGGTTTCTCCAGCGTAACATTGGTTTAAAAATGCTGTTATCTAGGTAGGTATTTCATTAAAAGACCAGCCAGCCCTATTGCACCTCTGTCCCCAATAAAAAGGGTAAAATACCCCCCATGGCCATCAGCTTGTGGGAGGTTCTTTATTATCAGTTGTGTTGTTTTATATCCCTTGCTTAAAGGTGGCTCCCACCAACACCCTTCCCTTCTCTAAATCTAAACTTTTTAGCACTTTATAGAGCATTGGCCTTCAGCAAATACATTGAGACCCTCAGCTGGGTTAGGCCTTGCTCTAAAGTCATTCACAGTAGTAGCAGCAACACCGCCATTTTCTTCTGGGCTTGCACGTTCTGGAGAGAAGAGCAGCAGAAAAATAGCAAGAAGAGAGAGGAAAGACATAAAAAGAAAAGGAATATTGCAGGATACGGTTAAGACAGAGTTTCTCAAAGTTGGGTCTCCAGTTGTTTTTGGACCACAATTCCCATCATCCCTGACCACTGGTCCTTGTAGCTAGGGATGGGAGCTGTAGTCCAAAAGAAGCTGGAGACCCCAGGGTTAAGAGAACCATGGTTGGGGAAGAGCCATGGCTGAGTGGCAGAGGATGTGGTTCGTCAATCCCCAACATCGCCAGGCAGGGCTGGGAAGGAGACTCTTGTCTGAAACCCTGGAGAGCCGATGCCAGTACTGAGCTAGATGGAGCAATTGTCCAATTTGACATAATACAGCTTCCCAATCGTGCTTTGGATATGAAAGGTTTTGAGGAAGACCCCCTTTCAATAAACCATGGTTAACACAAGTGACTCTTGACTAAGAAGTGTTCGCCAACAGCTTCTCTGCATTGCCCTGTACGAAATAGTGACGCTCATATAACTCCTGCTCCCCCCGCTTTTCTAACTGGGTCAGATCTAGGAGTTATTTGCCTTGTGGCGCTTGGAATTCCTCTTGCTTTTGACCTTAGGAATTTCATGCTACCTTGCACATTGTCCTGCTCACATGGGAAGCGTTGAAAGCAAGGTTCACAAAAGGGGTCAAACCATCGCAAGAGGTGTTGAAATTTTGGGAGGTTGGATAGTTACAATGGAATGGTCTTGGGGGTGGGGCACACATTTTTATTTTTATTTATTTACTATTTTGTTGAAAATAATAAAATAATAAATCAACTTAATAATAATAATAATAAAAGGTTCACACAGAACACAACTTGGAAAGAGGAAGTCGCCTACAATTATTCCAAGGGAGTAT